GGGGAACGAGTATAGCAGCGTGGGGCATACCATTTTTTCAACCGAAAAAAAATTTACAAAATCGAGTATGGCCGCACGGCTGTACGCTTTTTTGGAAAAAAATTTATTAAAACCGTGTATAGCCGCGCTGCTACACTATTTGTAGATATTAATTTGCTAGTTTCAACCTCCAAAACAGATATTGAAAAGAGAAATTTCACAATAAACCGAATTTCAGATGTAGCTACCTTGGGTGAGTTTCAACTTCCCATGACGAGAAGCATAGCTAGGTATTGAGGTATGATTCGTGTTGCATGATTCTCAATTTGAAGTTGCTGTTGGTTTCTATGAATATTGAAACTCCAAAAAGGGTCAGTCTCATCACCTGCTTTTCATGGCAAAGGTAGGCACTTTCAATCACTGATCAACTTTGTAATCATACGATGGAGAAATTAAGACATTGGTACGTACTAGGATCATTGAAAGTTCACCTCTAGCTTGTCAGCTTTTGCTTTATGATCTTCTGGAAGCAGATGGACTTCATCAGTCAACTGGATGAACTTATTCTCTTAACAAAATGAAAATGTCATCTTTGTAATTTTGAAAGTGCGACGGTTAATTTGAAAGTATGTTAAACCCGAATAGACGAACTCGTTATCTTTCAAAGGGGTCTCATTCCCACCTATGTAGAGTTGAATTTTTCTGATTGTAAATAACTCAAGGACTACTGTGATTGTTTTCTTTTTGCCATATACAAGATTAGGGTTCATATATCATTTCATCTTCCGCAAGGATTTTATCATTTTTCGTTTTTCTTTTTTAAAAATCCATGTCCAAGTCTTACTAGGAGAGGAGGGAGACAGGAAATAGAATTTGATATATTAAAGGCAAATTAAAAATAATAATAATAATCTCACATCAGAGTATAAAGACTTGAGCAGTAATTTGGAACAAACCAATTCGCATTTTTGCATATCATAAACAAACTTCTTTAAAATACAAAAGTAATTTCATAATCATAAACAACCACCAAATTCATTGCAATTGCTCTAATCAATCCCCATTCTGTGTCGTACCCTCTCGTCTTGTCTCATTCCCTTGAGACTCACAAGGCTTGGCTTATAAAATCCCAGAAGATCGGTGTCGAACCATTTATACACCACCTTCTTAATCATCTCATTGTTCATGTCATAAAAGAGAGTCTTCCCTCCCTTATATCGCAGCTTGAGCTCATCACAATCAGCCTTCACAGGAATGAGAACTTGATCATCCAAAAGTGGCTGATGCTGCAAAAATTTCAATGGCACAATGATCTTATTTTGACTCCATTGTTCCTCTTTCAAGTCTTCTAGCACCAAGACATGAAGTTCTTGCTCTACAATATCTCCAACAGCTATATGTTGGTTCCAATTGAAAACCCAAACTCTCTTGCAGCCATTGAAAACTCCTTGGGGCAATGTAGTTGTGATGAAGCACTCGTTCCACGGATCGAGAGCTTGGACTTCCAAGCACCAATCTTCCCCATCTGTTATAATTTCAGAACAAAAATAAACCCCATCATGAACCTCATCAGTTAGAAAAAATTGCCTTCTTGTTGCCCATTTGCCATTTTTCTTCAACAAGCCTTGGTTTGGGTGTTTCAAGGCTCTCCAATCCCCATCTTGTCCAATGCTCATAACTTCATATCCCACTTCATCATTGTGGATATAAGCACTTACCAATTTGGCATCACCAGTCAATGAATCAAAAGCACATTTCATTCTGCACACATCCATATGTGCATTAGGCAAGTCAAGGACATGACCAATCACCGGATTTCTGATGCGGCAAACAGGAAGACTATGATGCTTCTCTACAAACAAGCCGGCAACACGGGACATACACCGGATATTTTTACTGTGAAAAAGGGCTACTTGGTCATGTTTCCTACTGTATTGACATTTTATTGGCAGAGGACTAGCCCGATCCATATGCTTCACAATGAAGTGATGGTCTTCAATCAAAGCACACCATTTCTTGCAGATAGACTTCATTCTCAGCAAAGCGTCCACAGTTAGCCAACTCAGAATCTCAATGATCATCTCAAAAGGAAGCTTTAGTGCTTTTCGTGCGGGATCCAATCTTCTTCCTTGATCTCCACTTCGGGAGCGGGTCACCATGTTCATGCTCTGTGGATACAATAAAGTTCATTAATATTGTTTGATCACAGCAATGATTGTTCTTTACAAGAGCGTTACACGATAATTTCACTATATATCAATCACATTAACATTATGTAGCAATGTGACGAGTGCACGGAAGAATTTATAGCTCTTAAAACGGATAATCTAATAACAAGATATGCTGCAATTACAAATCACTAGTCTCCAACCAAATCATGAACCAAACAGAATTTAAAAATATAAATAGATCTACGTACATACATATATATATATATATATATATTCCAACATAAATTTATTTCAGTATATATGGAGATCATCATGCTTTTCATAATGTACGCCCTAAAAATTATGTAGTACTACAAAGTTCAAATATATGGATTCTTAAAAGAAAATGTTCATATGTGTGCAAATTAATGTTCAAACAAAACTATATATAAAAAAAAACATATGGAGCTCAAATTAAGTAAATCTTTTATCGATTTACACACTAGAAACTATATTCATATTAATAATCATCTACAAATCTAATCTAATAGAGTCATTCCCTCGGATGCAGCTAAAATTAAGTATTTTACCTCTTGATTTTGGCTGAAATTGAACGAGCGGCCAAGAAAATTTGAACGAGCGGCGGGTCCAAGAGAGAGAGAGAGTAGAAAACAAATGATGGAATAAATAATAGGCAAAAGGAGAACTTCTAGGAATCACTAGTCTCCACACAAAACAAGCAACAAACAAAATTTAAAAATATAAATAGATCTGCGTACATACATATATATATATATATATATATTCCAACATAAATTTATTTCAGTATATATGGAGATCATCATGCTTTTCATAATGTACGCCCTAAAAATTATGTAGTACTACAAAGTTCAAATATATGGATTCTTAAAAGAAAATGTTCATATGTGTGCAAATTAATGTTCAAACAAAACTATATATAAAAAAAAACATATGGAGCTCAAATTAAGTAAATCTTTTATCGATTTACACACTAGAAACTATATTCATATTAATAATCATCTACAAATCTAATCTAATAGAGTCATTCCCTCGGATGCAGCTAAAATTAAGTATTTTACCTCTTGATTTTGGCTGAAATTGAACGAGCGGCCAAGAAAATTTGAACGAGCGGCGGGTCCAAGAGAGAGAGAGAGTAGAAAACAAATGATGGAATAAATAATAGGCAAAAGGAGAACTTCTAGGGATTTTTAAGGGTAATTTTGTAATTTTAATTAATGAATTTATACTATTCTTTTTTACAGCGAAGATACTATATTTGACAGAACCCCCTTTCTCCTTCGGACATTCAATTATCCCTCACTAATTGTAACTATTTCTTCATTGCTATTCATGCGTTGGGCTATTTTGGGGTTGTTTGCTGTGATGTCCGTTTACTCTAGGGCATACTCTGCTTTGCAATTCACATCTGAACTACAAATGAGCCTCCTGAATATCAGATTAGGACTTTGGCAAACAAGTGAGATCATAGCCAGAAATTATCAAAAGCAGATCGTATAATAAACACTGTCAAGTTGTTTTGTACAAGTATTGCTGGTAATTGGTGTTTACCTTCAACAAAATATGATCTCTCTGGTATTACCAAAGCACTAAAAAAATCCTAATCCTAAGAGAAGATAAAACTCAAATGCCAGCTACCGCAAAATCCAACAATAAAATGAAATTATACTAAAGTAAGCACATTACAACTATATCAACAACCTCTATACTTTCGCAAAAAGGAGTTGATCACTCACAAAGGACTACAAAATTGTCCCTTCACAATATAGAGAAGGATCCTCTGCACTGAAGGAGTTAAATCACTCATCAACTATATCGACAACCTCTACACTTTACGAGCCAGGGTCCTCTGCTTTGTTGCGTGCTGTACTACTTTTTCCTCTACATGAAGGCCCTTCTTCCGTCTTACGGCATTAATTAGTTTCCTCGCAGTATTGGGAAGCACACTAGAACCATCACCAAACTCCTCAATTTCCTCTTCTGTTTTTGGTACAAAGAAAGGATCGTCGGGAAGTGCTTCCCAGTGACTAAGCACAAGAAGAGCACTTGCAGCACCAGAAGTCCATCTTCTAAGCTCGTCTGCAAAACCAAAGCTTTCAGAAACTGGCAGATATGCATGCACGGTGAACAATGGGGAGCCTTCCTGCATTTCCTCCTTTAAAACTCTAGCCCGCCTTCTCCCAAGCACAGCGTACATAGAACCCAAATGCTCGGTTGATGTGTTCAACTCACAGAAGTACATGGCTTCCACAAGCCGAGGCTTCTTTTGAAGGACGGCTTCTCTACAAGCATCTTTGACGGTTGTCATTACCTGTCCTCTGAAGATGCCATATTGTTCATGTTGCTGATGGGAGGCTTCCACCTCATCACATTGAGCAGTCAATGGTTCAATTTCGGCCTCAATAAGAAATGCTAAACCCCACATAGGTTCATCACATAAAGGTCCAGCTGCAGTCGCCACTTGAAACCCAGATACAACACTGCTTTCAAGGCTCTCTGCCTCCTCATACAATGCTTGAGTTACTTCTGAAGATGTATCACCAGCTACATTTCCACTGCCACAAGCATCCACAAATCCTAATTTTTCAGATACGTGAGAGTTGCCACGGATGAGGACAGAGCCATCAGTATCCCTTCCTTTAAGGTCTGGCATAAGCAGGATGTTAGGACCAACCTGTGAAGGGCCAAGTGCCCATATCCTTTTAAGAAGTTTTTGCCACTTCAGTTTACATTTCTCAACCCGATCCTTGTCATTTTCACCACTAGAATAAATATCACTCTCCACAGCATCCATGATACATTTCGTCAGTGCTTCCGTTGGATTCTCATCTTCTTCAATCCTTGAAATCTTTGTGTCCAAACTTTTAATGGTCTGGGCATTACCTTCGATGATTTCTCCAAGTAAACCAGAATTCTCCTCAAGCACCTTAGTTAAAGAAGGTGGCAGCTTTATGACTCGCACCTTAATAGTACACCTTTCATTTGGCGTCTTTTTCTTAACACAATCTGAGCTCTTAAGAAACAATTTCAAATTCTCAAGTTTATCGACTACATCTCCCTCAATGGTCTCTTTATAAGAAACAAGAGGTGGAGACACTTTCAAGTCTATCCTTGCAAATCTCTCCTTCAAATCCTTTATGCATCTTTCAAGATGTACCTCTCCTGCAGCAGACAGAACATGCTCTCCCCTAGCAGAAACCGTGACCTCTACAAACGGGTCTGCCCGGTTAAGCAGCCGTAAACCCTTCGTCAGGGCACCCATGTCTGCAGGATAAGAAGGCTCAATTGCCACTCTCAGAGTGGGAGAAACTTGGAATGCCATACTGGAGAAAGGCCAACAGTTTCTAGTTGACGAAAGTGTTGCACTTTTCAGTATATGCTGGCCAAGGCCTCGAATTGCCACAAGATTCCCGGCATGTGCAGAGGCCACATGTGTTAAGCCTTGGCCCATCATGAGATATAAAGATTGCAACTCAGCCTCCTGGATATGCTTCTTCATTGACTCCCCTTTTAATGGATCATACAAAGCTGAAAGCACATAAACTTTCTGGCCTGAATAAAGAACCCCACTAAAGATCCTTGCAAATGCAAGGAAACACTCATTCAATTCACCCTCATCACTTACGTTGTTTATGATTTCCCCATGTAATCCCCTCTGTGGAAGTACTTTCATTGGGACAGCAAACATTTTGGATACAAAAGCAACACAAGGAGCTTCTGGCCTCGAATCACAAGCTTCAACTGATTTTCTCACAAGCTCTGCCTCAGCAAGCACGTTGGGATCAACCCCATCATTCAGAACCTGTCTTTTGGGAAGCAACCGTGTTATTCGATATGCCTGTGCTGCAACTGGGTCAGGCATACACCTAACCACCATTGACAAGACTGCATCAAACAGAGGAAGCCAGCGGCTCATCACAGCTTGAAGCACAACCTTAGGATCCTTGTTCTGAAGCTCACGAGGTGGTACATTCAAATTAAAAGACTTGATTACTTTCTCAAGCATCACTTTATTATTATCACCATCTTCCAAAGCAGCCTGATAAACCTGCCAAAGTGGTTCAAGCACAAACTGAACAAACATGGGTCTGGCTTTACTTAAACCAGCTACACCTTTCTTCCCCACAATCATCTTGGTTTTGGGATTGTAGTACCTGGGTCCCCACAGAGCTTTTTGCAAAGCAGCTGTGCTCGCACCTAGTTTCGAAGCATAAAACTCAGCAAACTCACGAATACAAAAACCCCAACCATCCAAAGCACAGACAAACGCTACATTGCCCTTCTGGGGCTGAAACGTATCTTCCTCATCATCCTCCACATCCAAAAAGGCGAGATTTTGGTCACTACCCACATCTCCAGAAGGCCCAGAAAGTATAGCATCAACGTCAGACAAGTACTTCTCGCTCTTATACGCACTCACAATCCCATTAACCTCATGAACAATACGCACTAACCTCGTATAAGCCTCCAGGGGACTCAATTTCAACTCGGAGATCAACCGGTCAATTTTGTTGAGCACCAAGCAAGGCGTGAGCTTCTCAATCCAAGCCTGGCGCAAAACGGCGTGCGTTTGGATGTGGACGCCCTCAACGGCGTCGACCAGGACCAGAGCGCCGTCGCTTAATCGAGCGGCGGTGGAGACCTCGCTGCAAAAGTCCATGTGGCCTGGAGAGTCGATGAGGTTGATGGAGTGGTCTTTGTATTGAAGAGAGATGGAAGAGCTTTTCATGGTGATGGCGCGCCTCTGTTCCTCGTCGAGATAGTCCATGAACCGGAGGCGGCCGGCTAGTTTGGGGTGGACGACGCCGGCGCCGGCTCCAGCGATTAGGTGGTCGGCGAGGGTGGTCTTGCCGTGGTCCACGTGGGCCAGTATGCATATGTTTCGGATATTTCGGGTATTATCGGCCATTGATTATACACTTGGTAGAAAGATAAGACCCGAGATACCGGAGGTTAGGGATTGAGAAGAATGGAATTGGCGAGATATCGTTTGGTGCAGACGACGGACGAAGGCTTAGTCGCGCGGCGGGGAGGTTTTCAGGTTTTTAAGAATTAGGGCTTTTGAAACACGTGTTGCTATATGAACATGACTAATTTTTTTTTTCCTTTTCGGAATATGTGCTTTCCTTTTTATTTTTTTCTCCACTCGAATTTTTTTTTTTTGCCAAATTTTTACTCCAATGGTTAATTAATTCCACCAACTTTCCTAGGGTTCAACTCCATGCAGACAGAGATTCAAAACCGCAAGTATGCAATTAATGTTTGCGTAAACCTCCTCCTCCAATCGTTTGGAATAAAACTTATTCTAATACAATTTTGTTATAAAACAAGAGATGAAAAGTAAAACAGCAACTTTACCAAAAAATTTAAAAAGGTGAAAGAGCAACAGAGATTGGGAAAATTGATAAGTCACACATGTACTTCTGCTTATAAACATTTTTATTAGAAGATGTTGAAACTTTTATAAAGTTAGTGTTCAAGGTGATTCTCCAAAAATACTAAAGATGGCAAAGGAACATTTTAACATTTTCTGCTAAATGTATTGTCATAATCGGTTTTGGTTATCTAAAACCTCTTTTTTAGCCATTTTAAAAACATTTCCAAACATTGATTCGATTATCTATACTAAAGGCAAGTTATTATGACAAAAAAATATGATTTCATTCCTACGCTTTCCAAAACCCTGAAGAAGTGTAGGAACACAAAATTAATTATTCTCTTAATATGCATAAACATCACAGATTAAAGGGAAGTAAACCAAATGATTGAAGAAAACAAAAATAATCATTTCATAAACCCTTCAAACTGCTATGAATTCATGAATACAATGATAAATAAATGATGGCATAGCCCGGCGAAGGACAGCATCTTATCTCATATTTGATCCTGGTCTGCACAAACATTATCACCAGCTCATCCAGTGGGGATGTGGCAAAATGTCACCCCCTACAGAGCTAGCTATCACTTTAACATGTATTACTTGAACACAGGCGTATACCTGAAATAAGTAACAGCAGAAGCAGACTCATATCAGGAACTTGAATGGGGCTGGCAGGTCAAAATAAAATAGAAAAAAACCAGTAAGAGTATCATTTGGTCAACATCATGTTAAGCTCTCTAAAAACTATCAGGCAGTATATACGTCGGCAGTGACAAGAAAGAAATGTTTTAAACTCTTTCAGCTCAATTTTCAGACCTACATATTGCCTGGAGGGGCAAAGAGTATGTGATTGAGAGTAGCGCAAACCACTCAGTTCTGCATCTTGTTGCCCCAATCTGCACTCTCATTAATTACAGTTTTTGGATTGAGGATGGATGTGCTCTCCTTCTTTTCACTCTAGGATGTGCTATGACACACCACCTATTCACAATAATCGCTAACAAAAGAAAAACTGGCAAACATTTAATGTGTTTTACCACCCTTCTTACCAATAGTGTAGCTTCAAGTCTTCTAATCACGATAGGGTGTGAGATCAATGTTGAAGCGTTGCTTCCCCTTGCTTACCCTCTAAAAATTAACAACAAAATAGAACATCCAGGTCAGTATCTAGCAACAAAATGAAAAATCATATTGTTAGAAATGCAGAAACCAAAATGAAAAATCGTTCAGGTTTTTAATCTTCTTCTTCTTCTTTTTTTTTCTTTTTTTTTCCTTCCATCCGTTTGAGGTGTGGTCAAGGAAGGTTTTGAGAGGGGAGACTCTACCAAATACAAATAGCATATATGTCTCAATAAAATACTCCTGAATTGTTTCAAAAGTTGCTGAAAGGATCTGGTATTGATACTACACTAGCTAAAACTGCATTTCCAATCATGGATAATGTAACAACCCACATGCCATTGACTCTCAGATATACTTCCAAGTAACCGAGATAATATAGCATTCCATGTACATAGCATTTCAATAATTTTTTCACCACTTGACTCAAAAATGATCAGAACTCTAACTGCTCATATTATGAATGAAGCAAAGGACTTACAGCAATTGCTACAAGCTCTACCAGCAGTTCCTCCAAATGGCGCAAGGGCTACAATCATATATAAGAAGTAATTTAAACATCTTAACTTGATAAAATACTTTTAGTTAAAAAAAATTCTATATATTCAAATATGCCACAACAGGAATGAACTTCCAGAGAGAATGCTCATGGAATAAGAAAGCATGACTCACCCATTGAGTTGGACCATCAACCGGCGCGTTAGAAGGATCATCGTGTACCTAAGTCCCCAAAGGAAAATCTTAAAAACTCAAAAGTCTACAGCGAAGTGTGCATATATGAATCTATTCATAAAGAAGAATACTACCCTAAGAAATCTTTGCGCAGCTTCATATTGGCCATATAATTAAAAGCTAAGAAAGATGAATTCATATTGCACACTTTCGAATTTGTATGGAAATAGTTGCAGATAAACAAGATTATTTATTCACAAAGCTCCTTCAAAGTGAACTCAAATGAATTCAAATTAATCTGTGCCCTACTGTTAATTGGAATTACTTAACTTCAATTAATTTGTTCTCTAGTAACCCTAGAATTACGAATCCTAATCCTAAGAGTAGATGAAGCATAATGCCTGCATCAACAGATTACTTTACCTCCATGAAAATTCCATCCACTCCAACAGCAACTGCTGTCCTTGCAATGCACGGAATCAATTCACGAAGACCACCACTGGCTACACCTCCATCATCCAACTATAGGAGAAAGTTACCATTTGATATGAGAAAAAACATTCGTATCAAACTAAAGTAATCATATTACATCTTAATCGAAGATATATTGTGACACTACGGATAGAAACTTACAGAAAAGCAGGATTATTGCAAATATCTCCACACACAAAAATTACAACATCAACAACCAGAAGCAATTGCCAAAAGTATTTATAATTTCATCCACATACGCAATAAGATAAGACCGGTTCCTAATGTTTGTTGTTACTCAATAAGAAATGAAACAATCCAACATTTTCTCCCCAACTACCAAATTATGTGATTTTTCACAGGTCATTTCTATGTCAAGCAGAAATGTAAAGGATTATTTAGTCTAGGTTACAGTCTTCATGGGAAATAACAAGTACATAACCATACTTTTTGAAGCAAGGAAATTGCAGAGTGCTAACTTACGAAAAAATATATGTAAGAATTTTCTCACCTTTCTCCCAGCAGGCTGTTGCAATGCATGTGTTACATCAGCAACCTGTAGCGAAACACTTAAGTTGAATCAGCTGGTCTGGTCCTCAGATTTTAAAATGAAATGGAGGCAGCGTGTTCAGACTATCACTATTGAAAAATTGGGACAGAAAAGAATGCAAAAGTGAAAGAGAATTATCCAACAAGAACCAATGACTGAAAGCATTTGTAAGGATCAGGTAAAGGTCACCCAACTGAACTGAATACATGTCAAGTTTTCAACCCACTCCTATAGATTGTCAGACAACTGAGACCTACTAGCAACATACAAACACATATTTCAACCTCTTTGTAATTGATTTCAGTATTTATGAGGAAACAGGACAATATGAGAGTCAAATTTTCATTGTCTTTTTATGAGATGACGATAAAAAATTTCATTAGAAAGCCAAGTGTTTCCTATACATTCAGTGCCCAACATTTCCTACAATCGCTTCCTATAGGTGCTTCTCCATCCCCAGAAGCACTTATTGTCTATTTCAACCAAACATTATAAAAATCATTTTGGAAACAAATTGAGACTGGGGAAAAGGAGGGGGTGTAGTCGTGTACTTCCAGTATTCCTGACAAGGAAAATAAAGCACAAAACAACAACAGCACATAAAAATAGGAGCAGAGTATAAATTTAACTTACAACAGGACAATTAGCTTCTCTGATCCACTCCAAATTGCGCGGATCAACAATTAAATCATCTATATACCAAAGCAGAAATATAGGATAAATCAACTGAGCAAGAACAAATTATGAGAATGCATCAATAACTTTGATTGTAGAATGTTTAGAAGGCAACATTAAATCTCGAGAAATATGAATGGAGAGTCAATGCACGGAAGTTTAAAGACAAAAAGGGGGGAACATGACGCCAACGAAATATAGTTTCACTAGAATTAAGCAATGGCCACACAGAAAGTGGGGCAAGCACTAGAATATTGATGAAAGCTGAAACAGAAAGCTTAATTGAAGAGAGCATAGATACTGTAAGACTTACTATAGCCAAACATAGTTCCCCTTTCACAGACCATCACGTTTGGATTTCCAGCCAGTCTAACCTTCTCAGCAGAATTTACCATGACCTGAAAAAATGAACATTTTGAAGATTAAAATCAGAATCAGAAGCATACCTAAATCTTTTAAAAGAGATTAGTTAGTGGAGGTCTAATCAGTTAGTTCAGATTGAACTACTCATCATTAAACCCACAGAGAGAGAGAGAGAGAGAGTAAATCACTCACAGAAGGTGCACAGAATTGGCCTTTCTTAATGTTGATAATTTTTCCAGTCTTGGCTGCTGCAACTAGAAGATCTGTCTGCTTTCATAAGAAGTCACAAATAAGATACATTGGCACTCTCACATCCTCTGAAACTAAAAACTTCATGAATTTTTTTTTTCCGATAGAGGATTCCGTTTAACTTAACCTGGCGGCACAAAAATGCAGGAATCTGAATAATGTCTGCAACTTTACCAACTTCTTCACACTAGGAAAAACAAAAAAGCAAAGAAAAATATGAGGAACAGTTCATGACCTGTTACAAACCAGTTGACCGATCTTTGATTCAATCTTGGAATGGTTGTTAAAGAGACCCGTGGTAATTGTCTTTTTTTCCTTTATCTGAGGAACTTTCCTCGATGTATAACACAGGATGGTAAAGAAATAGACAAGGATGCATGGTGTTGCCTGATTGTGCATGCAAGTATTCAAGATAGAATGCATAGAGATCCATTGACCATGTCCAAAATCAAGAAATATAACAGCGTAAATTATAACCTATTCCAGATTCTCTCTTTTCCTTATCCACACACATTTTTACAAATTACATGGACATATCGTGATGGAGATAGCGTATCCAAGGTATCCAAATGGTACACATTTATTCAGCACAGCAAAGAGTGTCTTGTCAAACAAAGCTCGTTCTTCCTACCCTTTAGGCTTTATCTTTAACCCATCAAATTTCCAGGCTTAAGAAAACAATATCTATTATATTAAAAACAAGAGTTAAAAATTATGTATATTAAGAGAGGAG